ACTCAGGCTACCTTGCCTCAAGTTCTCAAACTCAGTAGCATGGGTTGCCTTAGTCTTGGCAGGCAATAAATGATCAATGAAGTCATCGGGAAACTCACTCTACCTTGCCGGAGGGCTCCCTTCTTCACGAGACTCCTCCCATAGTTCAAACCAAGAATATGCCACCTCTTTCAGGCGGTAGGAGGCCAATTCCACTGCCTCTATTTCAGTAGCACGCATAACTCTGAGAGTCTTGTGCATCTCATCAATGAAATCCTGGGGATCTTCCTCTGGGTTAGTACCCGTGAACACTGGAGGATCCAACTAGAGAAACCTGTTCACCCTGGAACCAGTAGAATCCCTTGGCTGACTGGAAGAAGTGGGTGCAACATTTGACCTCTGGGTCTGGGAAGCCACTATTTGAGCCAACATCTGTATGGCTCCCCTAAGATCAACATCAGAAACACCAGAATCAGAAGCTGGAACTGGAGGTGGAACTGGTATATCAGTTGAAGGAACTGTTGCACCTTCAGTAGGTGTAAGGACAAGTGCGGTCTGATCAATTGTAGTAGAGTCAGGTAGTGTAGTAACTGGAGGAATATTCTCACTCCTCGGGTGCTCACCCGCATCATCAATTATATGATCAACTGTCACTCATGGGGTGACATTGGCTCTTTGACCAGTTCTTGCCTTCTTCTTAGGCACCATGTACTGAAAATTAGAGCAACTCAGGAGTTAAAGGAGGAACAATCTTACAACAAGCTTTATCGCACGATCAAGAACATGAAAGAAAGGTATTATTCCTAAATGCCCATGTAGCATCCTACTTATAGATATGGTCGACAACACACCGATAATAAGGACTCTACTAGACACGGCTCCGAGACATCCTATGACACTTTAAAACCTTAGGCTCTGATACCAAGTTTGTCACGCCCCAACACCGAGGAGCGCGACCGGTGCTCAACCGAGTGAACCCGACCGAGCAAGCCTATTAGATTTCATTCTATCCAAACTCATCCATGAATTGAGATAATACATATTATACTTAATTAGACGAAAATGTATTCATGTCTACAATAACAATTCATTTCCAATTGTTTCATCATTTTTAAAGTCTCAAATGGACAAGTAATATATCCACAACATAACATAGTTTGTCATTCCCCAGCACCAATATACAACCCATACTATGTCTACGAAACCTCTATAGATAAAGAAGAGTACAATGATAATGCCGGCAACAAGGCCCCGGCTATACCTCAAATAGAATACATAAAGTACAAAGATATATGACCCCGGAATGAAGTGGGGCTCACCAAGTTAACTGGGAACAAGGTGTACTTCTATCACTGATCAATATCTCCTACTGTGGAACCACCTACATCCATTTAAAGATGCAGCGCCCCCGACAAAAGGGACGTTAGTACCGTCGAATCGCACTAGTATATATAACTAAACACCCTCTCAATAGAATGATAAATAATACAAATAAGATTATCATAATATCAATGAAAGATTTAATCAACATCAAACCTCAATTTAGGATCAAGACAATGTTCAAATTAATTTTCATATCTCACATTGGGAGATTTTTAGTATCGATATACCATTATCCACAATACTATTATTCACAAAACCAGTACCACCGTACTCTCAGCACGGAGTCCGATCACGACCTGATCGGTTAGGCCATCTCATTAGAGGCATCAACCATAATTTCTCTCAATATCAATACCACAGTCTTTAACAAGGAGTCTGATCATGACCTGATCGTCTAGGCTATCCATTAGGGACATCAACCATAATTACCATTTCAATTACAATTTCCAGCACAATCACCACCACGTGTGCGGCATAGTGTCCGATCACGACCCGATCGGCTAGGCCGTCTTATTTGAGACATCAACCTTTTTATATCAATCATCACATTTCATAATACTTTCACATCTTTTCATTTTATTGGCACTAGTGGCCATAATTGTAAGATCATTCTTGGCATGTTGGACATATTCAGTATTTCATGCTCACGTTATCAATTTCAAATATCATTAACAACAAACACAATTCAAATCAAAGTGTATAGTACACATGTGAATAATTTAGAGTCTAATGCACATAGAGATATTTCACAAAATTTGGCATAATAGCCTTTATTTGAACTTGACTTAAGTCGAAACATTATTAATGCACAACCCAAATTTTAACACATCCTCAATTGGTAACATAACATGAATAGAGCATTTGTGATGCTTGTTGAACATATATCGTTCAACCCAATCTTACTCGGAATAGACAATTTCATAATGAATCACTCCAGACTTACATAATTTACATGAATATAGTGGGATTCAATTCTAAGAGAAAGGTTTAGCCAACATACCTCAATTGAGCTTCCTTAAACTCTAAAATATTTCGGAATTCTTCGCAACTTCAATCTATTTTAGAAATATAACAAATTGAACCACAATTAGGAAGATGATTATGTTTCTAGCTCATTTGAGCATTTTATCAAACACTAGGTGTGCATTAAGATTCAAGGTCCTTTTTATGGAGGATTCCATCATCCCACAAACGAACCTTCACCATTTTTAGCTCAACAATCTTTCTACACTTTGATAAAATATGCATGTAAAATAACCAACCCTCTTGCCTAGAAATTATCTTGTTTATTATCCATTTCCACACAAAATTCAAAATTGAGGGTTAGGGTGTAGAATCTTACCTCTATGATGAAGACCTAGTGAGTTGCCCTTCTTATTCTTCCAAATCTTGAGCAAGAATTGAAGAACAATTATTGAAGAATCACCTTCTCACTCTAGGGCACCCTCTCTCACTCTAAAATGTCAGATAATAGCTCAAAAATGACCCAAAGAGTGTATTTAATGAAATAGGATCGGATTTTAAAAATCCAAAAATGGAGCTCCGGAACAAGGTATGCGATCGCATATGCGAACGCATAAGCGATATGCGGTCCGCATATCGGTCGCATATTTGGTTACAAAATAGCCAAAAGAACTGCCTGTGTATGCGGTCACTATGTGGTCCGCATAACTATTATGCGGTCGCATAATGCACCGCATAGTTGACCGCATAGTTTCTTCCAACTAACCTAATCAACTGCCTCACTCTGCGGCCATTATGCGGTCCACAGAGTGGTTCTGCGGTCGCATAATGGACTGCAAAAATGTACTTTTCCACCGAAAATATTTCTTTACTTTCTACAATCCTCAAACACGTAAGCCTAGTTCGGCACCATGAAACATTATTTTCTTTGCAAACTTTACCGGGCTTTACACTTAAGTACTTCAAAATATTTCGGGGTGTTACAGTTATTCTCCACCAATACCTCACCTCCCCAATATAATGAAACCCTAATTTTTCGCTCTTCGGACATTATGAAAAAATGCAAAATAGCTTAACGAATAAATATTTCAGAAGATCTGAAAGATCGTGAATAGATTTTTACCAAATTCTGAAACTCCTTAAATAAGAAAAAAATCAGTTCGGGGGTATAATTATTTGATGTATAGCGCACACATAATAAGCGCTATATATGTAGCGCGTATACTCCATGCGCTATACTCATATGAATTGGTGGGTCAGTAAAATGCAGCTGAATTATTGTTGGGGCAGGAAAGTTCAAATATAGCGTGGTTATTCACCGCGATGTACCTTAACGGACAAACGTACCGTTAAGATATAGCGCGGTGAATAACCGCACTATATATAAAATGATAGTCAATTTTTTTCCCACCTATTTTTATCGTTTGAATCCAAAAGAACCATACTTTGGTCCGTACTCTATTTTTGAAACATATTCAAATGAACTGTCAAACATTATGTGATACAAGCGTCAAAGTAAATACAGGGGGCACTGCTACATTACTGAAAGATAGTTGTGAGAGGATGAGACAAACACTCCTCTTATAAATGATGCTTAACACCGGAAAAGAAAAGAAAAGAAAGAAAATAAATTACATGATTGCTTAACCAAATAGTTGAATATGATAAGGCGAACTAGGGATTATTTTATATCACCTTTCAAGTGAGAAAAATTAATCCAGGGATTACAATCTTAAATCCCAAAATTATAATTTTAAGATTATAATTTCAAAATAATTTAATTCATATACCAAACGATCAGTTAGTGGTCTTACTAGAAGCAAATTCGAATTAATTTGTCGAGCAAGTAAATTTCTAGTACTGTACGCCAAAAGGAAAAAAAGAATTGATCCCAGGCATAAATGGAATAAGGTCCTACCCCTTAAATTATTTCTTTAATTTATTTATCAGGAATAGTGCTATTTGAGACAGCAAGCCAGGTAGCCTATACTAGGCCAAGAATAGTCCTTAATTATAGGTATTTGACTGCTATCTAATCTAATGACAATTAAACTCCATTGGACGGCCCCCCTTTTTCACAATTCTTTTCTTCTTGCTTTTATTGGTAAAATGGGAGGAACTGAGACAGTGGTCCACTGGTCCTGCATGTATGTACGATTACTTTCATTTTTTTAACATACTGTAATATAATTTGTGATCATCAGTTTTCGAGTGACTTATCAAGAGTCTCAGTTTTCTGCTTGAAAAGCAGAGCGATCATATTCCCAAGTCTCAGCTTAAACAAATTAAAATCTTTAATAAGATACACATAGGACAAAAAGTACTTGTTACCTGATTTTTTTTTTTTAGTTCGTGTTTCAAAAAATGACTCGTTTTTTTATTTGGAAATAATTTACCTTTAAAACATAAAATATGTGCCTCATTTTACAACACAAATTCAAAAATCTTTTTTTTTTGCTTAAATTCTGTGCCCAATCAAATAAGTTCACATGAATTGAAACGGAGGGAGTATAATATATCTGCTGACATGTATTTTCAAGTGATTGGTTAATGGTGTAGTATTTTGTTTGTTCTTTTATCATCTTTTGACAGTATAAATACGTTTGCAATTATTTCTAAGCTACTTCAAGTGTGAGTGATCTATAGGTCAACAAAGTCTTCAACAGCCTCTTTATATATAGCGTAAAAAAACTGGACAAATGAAGATCAGAAACTATGGTTTCCTTCTAGCAGCTATTTTAAGTTTGGTTTCTGCAACAAGGAACAAGCCATTTGCAACATACAAAAGTCCCCATCTTCAACAAGGTTTGAATGTTTAATTACTTCTCTTTCAGCTTGTTCTCTACATGTTGTCATTTGCAAGGACCTGTTCTTTAGTTCTGACTTCATAACTTTTAATCTGAAGTACGCAAAGACTTCAATTCTGCTCAAGCTGCTTTGCAAAAGATGCAGGTATTTAATCTTACAGCAATGATCACTACGCTGTCACCTTATCAATTTCAACCAAGTTGAGATAGACTATATGAATTATCACTGTTCATATATACCATTGCATTTGTGCCCGTCTCGGCAACTATAATTAAGCCTTAATGGTTTTTTTATTCTTTTCTTTGCTAAATAATTAGGGACTTGACAGCATGGAAAGGGCAGGAGATAAGAATGAGAATGCCATTGAAGGGCTAAGGAGACTTGGTTCAACGCCACCAAATTGTGAGCACAGATGTGGAAGGTGCAAACCATGTATTGCTATTCAAGTACCTACAAAAGCAGACCATTTGGAGGTACAATATGCCAATTACGAACCTGAAGGTTGGAAATGCAAGTGTGGCACTTCTTTATTCGATCCTTAAAAAGTTTTCCCCTTTTGCCTTCCCATTTCTTTTTTGGCTTCAAAAGTGCAGCGTTTCCACTCTCCTGCATGTGTAAACTATTGAAAAATGAACACTCATCTGTTCAATGTACTTCTTTCCATTTTATGTGACAATGAGATGAGTGATTAGGCATCGAATTTAAGATATTAATTTGATTTATGTAATATGTTAGTGATGATGTAAAGTATATAAAGATGGTGATTGAAAAGATAACAATTATCACATCACGTCGAAGTTAAAATGCAAATAGCCTAGTGAATTTAAATTTTCATAAGCTTTAAAACTTGTGACATAATACTCCACTAGAATAATCATCAAACATTTTAAAATTTCCCAAAATAAAAAGAATGTCACGTATAAAGTGTTGAGATTTGAGTTTTGATGATTAACAATTGTGTCCAATGAACGTTTGCTAGGAACCAGGTCCTCAAAGTATAGATGCTAAAGGTTCTTAAAAGACAGTAACTTTTACACAAAGTTACTGTAGTCCGATATTGCTGGAGAGGACTCTTGATGCGATAATGACTGTTGCCCAATAATATTTGCCTGAATATCTGATAGACATGAGTCACCAGATTCATGGAATCCTTAGAACTTCAGGATTGCAAGCAAACTAAACATTTGAGTAAAACATGGTTTAATATACTTAATAGCGAAAATGTCACAATTCTCTCATAAAAACAATAATAATTACTACAACAACCCCTAAAATTTACTGTCAACGAGTACATGAGCACTACTGAGTATCAAAATATATACCAAATCCGTAATACAACTGTCTGAACAGTAGAACAGTAATAATAAAAATAAAAGAAAAGAGAGTCATGGTCTGCGGACGTCATAACAGTTACCTTGAAGTCTCCAAGCTCTGGTACTAGAACAGATCTAGCAATCACCACGTCCAGATGCACCTGAATTTGCACATGAAGTGCAGAGAGTAGTGCGAGTACAATCGATCCCATATACTTAATAAGTAACAGAGCTAACCTTAGGCTGAAAGCAGTGACGAGTTTAGAATAAAAACAGTCTGAATCCGATAAAATGACAACACAGATATAAAAATGACAATAATAATAAATAACATAAAGGGATTTTCATAATCGGCTCGTTCATATTACAGAAATTTAGACATGCTTTCAAATTCAACAACTAAAGCCCAACACTGATAGGAACATATCAATTACAGCTAGCATGAGGAATGATACATCTCTATGCCTACATGTCAAGTATGCATGTCAAATGAATGATTTCACGATGATATTCCCAAGTACTAGCACTCTCAGTATACTCAAATTCTCTGTCTCAAATGCCCCCTTATCACACATATACACACAATCACTCAGCACTGTACAGGTGCCTGATATCAGTGCCCCTCACTAAAGCACGCGTATATATCACTGTGCCTGCACTCACTATTGGTATGTCAGACTCCGGAGGGGCGGATCCTGCCCAATAGCTAATCAAAGACAATAAGGCTTGCTCTGACGTGCAACCCGATCCACATAATTGTCAATATAGCCTGTTGCGGCATGCATCCTGATCCACAATAATACTCTCAATACGGCTCTACGACCCACATCAGTCATCAACCTCTCAAGTCTCAAGGGCTCACAATCTTATATCACTCAGTCCAACAACTCCACATAAGGAACAAGAATGATAACATGCAATGTAACCATGAATGATGAACAAAGACTGAGATATGATATGCAAATGAAGAACCATGACTGAGTGTATAAATATAGTTAAAACAGGTAACTCAAAACAACAGAAATAGCCTCAATAGGTCTCAACCGAATAAACATATATCCTAAACATAATTTTTAACATGAATCACAACTCATTTACTCTAACAAGTAGGAATTACACGGATAAAACAAGACTTGATAGCAGCACAGTACAAAAATCAACCTGAATCATGATTACCACGGTGCACGCCCACACTTCCGTCACCTAGCATGTGCGTCACCCCAACACAATACAAATAACATGTTTTCCATGGATTATTACTCTCAATTCCAAGTTTAGAAATATAACTTACCTCTAAACACGCAAATCAATACTCCAACAAGCCCTTCCCACGCATATCGGACTCTGAACGACTCGAATCCCGATCCAAATCGTGAAAATCCCCTCCAAAATCGCCAAAAACCGAGCTCTACAACTCAAAGTATAATATATTAACTCTAACCCTCGAAATGGAATTTAAAAGAGTCTGCCAATCATTGAACTACACGAACATGGAAAATGCCTCGCGTTCACGAAGAACAAGTCTCACCAGCCACCAATTCCTCCTACACTAACGCGACATCTCACTCGCGAATGCAATGATCATCACCCTACAACTATGCAATCGTAGTCTAGGTCTCGCGACCGCGAAGAACAAACTCCTGCCACTCCTCAGCCTTATCTTTCTTCTATGCGAATGCATCATCTAGCTCGCATTCGCAGTGAACAACTTGCCTCAGCCTTCGCGAATGCGTCCCTGAACTCGCGAACGCGAGAAATTTCCACCAGCCACCAAATAACTCTACGCGATCGCGAATAAGGAGACCAGATGCACAGGTTCAGTAATCTTCAAAGTCCAAAAATGAATCCGACAACCATCCAAAACACCCCCGGGGGCCCTGGGACCTCATCCAAACACACTAACAAGTCCTAAAACACGATACGTACTTACTCGAAACATCAAATCACATCAAATAACACCAAAACCACAAATCGCACATCAATTCAAGCCTAATAAAATTAATGAACTTTCAACTTCTAAAACCAATGCCGAACCATTAACTCCGAATGACCTCAAATTTTGTACACTAGTCCCAAATGACACAACAGACCTATTCAAACTCCCGGAACCAAAATCCGAGCCCCATATCAAAAAAGTCAACTCTCGGTCAAACCTCTTAATCTTCCAAACCTTCAACTTTCCAACTTTCGCCAATTCAAGCCAAAACAACCTATGGACCTCCAAAATTATCATACGAAGCTATTGGAACCATCAAAACTTATTTTAGAGTCGTCTACACAAAAGTCAAACTCCGATCAACTCTTTCAACTTAAGCTTCCAACCTTGGGACTTAGTATCCCAATTCACACCGAAACCTCCCGAAACCTCCCGAAAACCAATCCAACCATCCCGACAAGTCACAAAACCACAAATGAACATAGAAGAAGTGATAAATATGGGAACATGGCTACAATATATAAAATGATCGGCCGGTTCATTATATTCTCCCCCTCTTAAACAAACGTCCATCCTCGAACGGGTCTAGAATCATACCTGGAGTCTCAAATAGGTGTGGATAGTTGCTCCGCATCTCCAGCTCGGTCTCCCAAGTAGCATCCTCGACTGGCTGACTTCTCCATTAGACCTTCATTGATGCTATATTCTTTGACCTCAACTTTCGAATCTGCCGATCTAGAATAGCCACCAGCTCCATTTTATAAGTCAAATCCCCATCTAATTGGACCGTGCTGAAGTCCAAAACATGTGATGGATCACCATAATACTTTCGGAGCATAGAAACATGAAATACTTGGTGAACACCCGATAGTCTAGATGGCAATGCAAGTCTATAGGCCACCTCCCCAACTCTCTCAAGCACCTCAAAGGGGACAGTATACTGAGGGCTCAACTTGCCCTTCTTCCCGAAACTCATCACATCCTTTACGGGTGAAACTCATAGCAAAACCATTTCACCCAACATATATGCAGCATATCGAAACTTCTGATTAGTGTAACTCTTCTGCCTAGACTGAGCTGTACAGAGCCTATCCTGAATCAACTTGACTTTCTCCATGGCATCCCGAACCAAATCAGTGCCCAACAACCTAGCCTCTCCTAGCTCAAACCAACCAACTGGAGAACGACACCGCCTCCCATATAAGGCCTCAGAAAGAGCCATCTGAATACTCAATTGGTAGCTGTTATTGTAGGAAAACTCAGCAAGCGGTAAGAACTAATTCCATGAACCCCCAAAATCCATAACATAGGAGCTTAGCATGTCCTCCCAAGATCTGAATGGTGCACTCGAACTGACCGTCCATCTGGGGGTGAAAGGTTGTACTTAACTCAACCCGCGTACCTAACTCTCACTGCACTACTCTCCAGAACTGTGATGTGAACTGCGTACCTCGATACGAAATAATAGACACTAGAACTACGTGAAGATGAACAATCTCGCGGATATAGATCTGAGCCAGCTGATCTGAAGAATAGGTAGTCACAATCGGAATGAAGTGTGCAGACTTGATCAGTCTATCTACAATAACCCACACTGCGTCGAATTTCTTCAAAGTCTGTGGGAGCCCAACAATGAAATCTATGGTAATACGCTCCCACTTCCAGTCGGGAATCCCAAGCCTCTGAAGCAAATCGCACGGCCTCTAGTTCTCGTACTTCATATGCTGATAGTTCAAATACTGAGCCACATACTCCAGTATATCTTTCTTCATTCTTCTCCACCAATAGTGTTGCCTCAAATCGTGATACATCTTGGCGGCACCATATGAATGGAATACGCAAATTGTGGGTCTCCTCAAGAATCAACTCCCATAACCCATCCATATTGGGCACACAAATTCTACCCTACATCTGCAACACCCCATCATATCCAATAGAAACCTCCCTGGCATCACCATGTTGCACCGTGTCCTTAAGGACAAACAAATAGGGGTCGTCATACTGACGCGCTCTGATGCGCTCATACAAGGAAGACCGAGAAACCATACAAGCAAGAACCCATCTAAGCTCCGAAATATCTAACCCGATGAACTGATTGGCCAAAGCCCGAACATCTAATGCTAGCGGTCTCTCACCAACTGGAATATGTGCAAGGCTACCCATACTCTCAGCCTTTCTGCTCAAGGCATCGGCCACCACATTGGCCTTCCTAGGTTAGTACAAAATGGTGATATCATTGTCTTTTAACAGCTCCAACCACCTCCGCTGCCTCAAGTTTAGATCCTTTTGCTTAAATAAGTGCTGCAGACTCTGATGATCAGTGAATACCTCGCACGACACACCGTAGAGATAGTGCCTCCAAATTTTCAATGCATGAAAAATGGCTGCCAACTCTAAATCATGAATATGGTAGTTTCATGAGGCTTCACCTGACATGAG